CAAGCTTGTCCTGCTTCCTCAGCCATGATCGCCAAACAGCAGTGTGTCCGGGGCGGGTCCCGGGGCTTCAGCTGTGGCTCAGCCATTGTTGGTGGGGGCAAGAGGGTTGCCTTCAGCTCTGGCTCCGTGTCTGGAGGTGCAGGCCGCTGCTCCTCTGGGGGCTTCGGCAGCAGGAGCCTCTACAACCTTGGCGGCCACAAGAGCATCTCTCTCAGTGTGGCCGGGTCTCGCCAAGGTGCTGGGGGTGCTGGGGGCTTTGGTGCTGGGGGCTTTGGTGCTGGTGGCTTTGGAGCTGGTGGCTTTGGAAGTGGATTTGGTTGGGGTGGTTCTGGCCTCGCTGCCTGCCCTGCTGGGGGGATTCAGGAGGTCACCATCAACCAGAGCTTGCTGACCCCACTCCACGTGGAGATAGACCCCGAGATCCAGAAAGTGCGCACCGAGGAGCGCGAGCAGATCAAGACCCTCAACAACAAGTTCGCTTCCTTCATCGACAAGGTGCGTGACTGGTGTCCTGGGCAGAGAGAGGCAGCGAGTGGAAGGAACCCAGGAATTGGAGCTTCTTGTAGGCAAAGGGACAGCAACTGAGTTTTTCTGGGCCTCAGTTTTCAGCGATGAAGGAGAGACAGATGGTACTTTGAGTCTGTGGTAAGAGAGGGCAGACGAGCTGTGTGCTACCAGGCAAAACACTTGGCTTTTCTGATTCTAGTCACAAATGGGCTCACTATTTCCTAGCTTTTCTCTTAGGTTTTGGTTTTGGAAAAAAACAGTTAATTTCAGTAGTTTAACAACTGGCACTCCTGTTCTGGGAGCTGAAGAAAACCAAGCTGGTTCTGCACATAACAACTTGCTGACTTCCATGGAAAATTCTAGGCCACAGCAGGATCTTGGGAGGTTATCTTGTTTCTTCTCACTGTAGGCTCGACTGTCTGTTTGAAGAGGAGCTGGGTCTCTCTTTTCTTTTTGTTGCCCAACTTCCTCTTCATGAGCATTTGGAGAGCCAAGTCCTGAAAGCTCAATCCCAGCCTAGTGTGGTAGGTTATGGTGATCGGGTCATCTCAGAGAGCTGAGTCACCTGAGATTGATGACCAGGTAGACAAGTGTAAACACCTTGGTCTCGGCTGTCCTGGGTCATGGCGTATCAAAGTCTTAGGCCTCTTAGATGTTTGGGCAAGAACGCATCTTCTTCGTGCAGGCTGAATGCGTGCATTTACTTCTCCTGCTAGTTTGAATAAACCCGCGGTAACTTCAGGAGGCTTCATTGTGACTCTAGGACACAGAGACATGAAAGCAAGAAGAAGAGTTCTTTGGGGGCTTCTCCGTCTCATCTCCCCCTTTCGGCCCAGGTGGTGATCAATCTTCTTTGCCTGTTTCCCTTTTATTCTGAAGCCCATAGGTGGAGAGGTCACACTCAGCTGCTTCTTTGGCCTATCAGGCTACATCTTTTCATAGAGAGGGAAAGTCCGGGGATGTCCCTGGCAGGATGGAGTCTAGCTGAGATTAGAACAGGAGTAGGATGTTGCTCACCGATAGCCATACTGTCACGCACAGGTTGTTCATGGGGACACACAGGTCTATTGATAAGAAGGCTTATTTTAAAAGTATTTAGTGAACTCTTTGCCTTGGGTCAGGGTCACTCGAATGCAAGAGCCTTTAGATCACGGTTGTATCTCCTCATTTTATTTAATTATTTCGTAGAAGCTCCCTGCTTCTCTGGTGGGCCATCTGGGGTCTTTCGATGCCGGTGCTTAGGAAGCTGGCCCTGCTGCTCTGGCCATACGTACTCTGTTCTCCACGGCCCGGGGCAGCAGGGATACCATGTTGACCCTAGTGAATGAGGGTCCTTCACTAGGAGTTGCCATGTGATAGCTCTACTTGGGTGACTCTTGAGCTACGTGATTGCCTTGGATTGACTGGGTTGGAGTTGGCCTTGGTGGGCGCCCCCTAGTCAAAGGTTTGATCCTTCTACCTCATCAGTGGTCTGGTACCCTCTTCAAACAGGTGCGGTTCTTAGAGCAACAGAATAAGGTCCTGGTGACCAAATGGAACCTCCTGCAGCAGCAGACGACCACCACATCCAGCAAAAACCTCGATCCCTTCTTTGAGACGTACATCAATGCCCTCAGGAAGCAGCTGGATACCTTGGCCAATGAAAAAGGGCGCCTGCAGTCGGAGCTGAAGGTCATGCAGGACAGTGTGGAGGACTTCAAGACCAAGTATGTGGGGAGGAAGGAAGGGACCATCTGACGCATCTGCCTGGCCATGGCCTAGGCTCCTTGGGCTCCTCTCCAGTGGTTTAGAACCTCAGGATCTGAAGAGATCCCAATGGGCCAGGAAGGTCCTTTAGACAGTGCCCCTGCATCCACATGATTACATGTTCATAGGGTGAGGTCTAGGTACCTCAAGTTGCCCCACAGTCAGAAGCAAAGAGATTGTAGAGACAGATGGAGCTGATTTACTCACTTACTAGCTATGTGACTTTGGATAAGTTGCTTAACTTCTCTGCGCTTCAGTTTTCTTAAGCCTCAATGGGGATGATATCCTTTACTTTTTAAAATGGAGATACTATTCCTACCTTATGGGTTATAAGAATTCAATGAAATTAATTGAGAGAAAATACAGGTAGCATAGCACTAGACATAAAATGAAGACCCACACCCTCTCTCCCAATTCTCTCACACCCAAAATAGAGGAACTGAAGTGCTGGCAACATTCTTGAGAATTTAATCTGCCAAAATGGCCCAAAGGACAGTTCCTTCCATGGAAACAGCATTGATTAGTTTCTTGCGGATGTTTCACCTCACATGTTAACTCTTGAAAATCGTCTTTGTAAAATTTGGTTTTTATGTCTCTGAACACACCAGGGCCTAGACCTGTTATCTCATACATAGTAGTTACTCAATAAATGTACATTGAGTGGATATTTGTGCACATGGGAAATACAGCTAATTACCTGGATATTTCCAAATAGGTGTTTGCAAACAAGCAGCAGAGATCCAAGAGACACTTGCTCACTGTGGGCTTTTGTCTTTTCCTTCCTGTCCCTACCCCTAGATATGAAGATGAGATCAACAAACGCACAACGGCAGAGAATGACTTCGTGGTCCTCAAGAAGGTGGGGCATGAAAGATGGTGGGGAAGTGTTTTTTAGGGAACCCCTCCCCGTTGGTGATGGTCCTCAGCTGGCCATGAACCCACGGCCCATCTCTGCTCATCTCCACCTCACTTGGTACTATCTACATCTGTGCAGCTGAAGGAAGCAGATAAGGGAACCAAGTTTCCAGGAATGAAGCTTGGGAGGAAAGCCTGTGTAGACAATTAAGTTCCATGTCTTCAGGTAGCTTCAGGGACAGAATCGAGTGAATGATTGGTCCCTGGCCACCTCACCTGGCATTGTGTAGATTTTCCTAAATGCAACTGAAAACACTTGCAGGTGTCGATTAATACCTTGTCCCCATGATCATTCCTGCTCCTCCTCTCTCCTCCTGTTTCCCCTGCAGGATGTGGACGCTGCCTACATGACCAAGGTGGAGCTGGAGGCCAAGGTGGATGGCCTGAATGATGAGATCAACTTCCTGAGGGTCCTCTTCGAGGCGGTGAGGACTCCTTCCTCCCTCCATTCACGGAAAGCGACTCCTCCACCATCTCTGAGGCTGCTGGTTGGGATTCAGTGCTTAGAAGGGACTCTGGTCCTCTTCCTTCAGGGCAGAGGCTTCTCAGCAGGGTCATGGATGAAAGGGTTGGAGCCAAGTGAAGGATTCAAGTGAGAGCTTCTCAAAACCAGATGTTGTCTTAGAAGAAGAAATTATAGCTGAAGTTTGTGAGGGATGGAATTTATTACTGTCTACCATTTTTCTGGTGAAATGAATCCATTCCATTCCCTTCCATCTAACACACGGAACACCTGTTGCTTTGGACGTGGAGTGCCGTAGTTCCCAGTGAGCAGTAAAGATGAGAAGCATTGCTTTTCCTCTCCTGAGATGTCACCAAATATTTGATTTCTACTTAAAAATGTATCTTCTTTCCACTCCCTACACATTGGGAATGCCAACCCCACTTGCATTTGAACTTGCAACCCAGAGGCTTGCCTCAGAGCTCAGGGGGAGACCACCTGGGGTGCTGACTGGAGACCTTTGCTTTGCAGGAGCTGTCCCAGATCCAGAGCCATGTCAGTGACACTTCCGTGGTCCTCTCCATGGACAACAACCGCAACCTGGACCTGGACAGCATCATTGCTGAGGTCCGTGCCCAGTATGAGGATATTGCCCAGAGGAGCAAGGCTGAGGCCGAGGCCCTGTACCAGGTCAAGGTGGGTGGTAGGATGTCTCAGGAGATGGGGGTGACTTTAGGACTCTGCTCTTAATGTCAGGTGCTCATCCACTTGATCCCAAGAGCATCCAGAGATGGTAGATTCTCCCAGGCATCATTGATCCTGATCTGCTTGGGAACACTTGACATTTTGGGCTACCCCTGTCACCTGTGGCTACTCTCACTGGACCCTACCCAAATACTCTTGACCCATGATTCCCTGTGTATCCTTGGGCATTAGGTCCAGCAGCTCCAGAACTCAGTTGATCAACATGGTGACAACCTGAAGAACACCAAGAACGAGATCTCAGAGCTCAACAGGCTGATCCAGAGGCTGCGGGCAGAGATTGAGAATGTCAAGAAGCAGGTGGGTGTCACCTTCTCCTAGCTGAAGTGCAAGGTAGATGCCCTGGGGTGGATAAGCAGGTAAAGCATGAGGTCAGAAGACCCTGAGCTTATCTACATGGCATTTCTAGCTCATTATGGAAGCCACACCTGGATCTTCTGAGCAATATCCTAGTTGACATGAGATGATGCCCCAGTACACAGGTTTCCTGGCTCTTCACTTTTTTTTTTTTTTTGCCTGTCTATCTTATCAGTCTGATGGGGGCAGTGGTGGGCTCTCGCTGGAATGAATGAAATTCTTAAGGGTCAGGCAAGATGGGAAGAGGGACAATTGGAATCCTGACATCCTAACCCAAGGAAAACTGGCCCAAAAGAAGGGCCAGGTATAAAGATCTTGAAAACAGGGCACTGATGCTGCCTGTCCAATGTCCTTGTCCACAGTGCCAGACTCTGCAGGCGTCTGTGGCAGACGCAGAGCAGCGTGGGGAGCTGGCGCTCAAAGATGCCTACACCAAGCGCACAGAGCTGGAGACTGCCCTGCAGAAGGCCAAGGAGGAGCTGGCCCGGATGCTGCGCGAGTACCAGGAGCTCCTGAGCGTGAAGCTGGCCCTGGATATTGAGATTGCCACCTACCGCAAGCTGCTGGAGGGCGAGGAGTGCAGGTGAAGCAGGAAAGCAGGGTGGTGATGTGAGGGACAGAGAGGCCCTGGGTCGTGAGTTGGGGCCTCTGCAGGGCTGCTTGCTTCAATGCTGTGCTGGTGCATTACACCAGGATGGAGGGGCTGCAGTTATGGCTCAGTGGTAGAGCACCTGCCTAGCATGTGTGAGGCACTGGGTTCGATTCTCAGCACCACAAATAAATAAATGAATAAAATAAAGGTCCATCAATATCTAAAAAAGTATTAAAAAAAAGGAACCAGGATGGTGTAAATAATAGGTTCACACTTGGCCTTTAGAATCTTGTTCTTTAAGGACAGTGCATGAGACCTACTTATTGAACAAATTGTGGTTCTGGGCTCGCTGAGACTCACAGCTCTTTCTCCCCAACAGGATGTCTGGAGAATGCCAGAGTGCTGTGAGCATCTGTAAGTACTTCCTGCCCCTTCTTGTTATTTGTTCACCCAGATCTGGGTGGAGGGTTCTGGGCACTGTGGGAACAACTGTGTCCCTTGTCTTTCTTGCAGCCGTGGTCGGTGGTAGCTCCAGTATTGGAGGCATCAGTGGAGGATTCGGCGGAAGCTGCTCTGGAATTAGCCTGGGTAGTGGTTTTGGCTCCTGCTCTGGAGGTGGCTTTGGGTTTGGCAGCGGTGTCTGCGGTAGTTCCGGCAGCAAGATCATCTCTACTACCACCCTGGGCAAGAAACCCCGATAAGAGGAGACAAGGTCCTTGCTGGCAACCAAATGCCACCTGGCCCAGGCCTGCGGTCCCTGTGCTTCCTTTACTTCATCTCCACCTTCCCTTTCTGGTGTTCACCCTGATGCTGTCACCTCGACTCTCTTCTGGGATCTCTGCTCCAGGACCATCTTGTCTGGAATGTGGATTCTGTCCTCTTGGAGTTCGGTGGCTTCTTTTTGACTTGGGCCTGGTGACTCACCTCCAGTGGAGGGGGTCTCAGCTTTCACCTCCCATGGACAGAGGAGAAAATGACCAGGAGCTCCCTCTCCAGAATTGTCAGGGCCACACATTTCTTCCCAGCTCAACACTGTTGCCCACCCGATTCTGGATATCCAGCTACAAGAGAACCAAACTCACTCTCCATCACCCGGCAGCAACAGGCTCTGCAAGGTTAAGACAAGAACTGCTCGGGTCCCATTCAACTCTTCTCATTCTTAACTATCTGCAGGTGAATCTTCAATAAAATGCTTTTGTCATTCAGTCTGAGCCATTGTGTTTGTTCCCTGGGGAGCAGTCTCTAGAATCTTGAACATCTATTAACTTGGGTGAAAGTGGACACTGGGGGGTCTGAAGGATCTGTTTATGTGGATCAAAGTCATCCACTAGTTTTTCAGGTCTCTATTTGTAAATTGCATAGATTACTGAGGTCAGAAGTGCAGTGTCTGGAGCCTGAGGGCAGATGTGCAGATTCAAGAGATAACCAACAATTATAGAGAGGAGGCCCATCAGAGGGCGGCCCAAGGCAGCACCTTCTCAATTCGAGTCTGGAGTGAGCCTGGAGGGAAGGAGTCTAGGTCTGGAGGTGTGGGGCCTCTTGCAGGTGTGAGGAGAGGCACCAGCGTGGTGGCTTTGCTGAATGCAGAACAGAGGATGTGGAGCTTAGGAAGGGAACCTACACTCAGGGCTAGCAAGGCCTCTCTAGTTTTGCAAAACTCCATGCATGGAGCTCAAAGCCCTGGAACAACAGGGCTTTCAGGAACTGTTCTAAGAACGCACGAGATCACTGTGGTTGGATGGGGGAGTACAAGCCCGCTGTTCTCCCAGAGCTTTAACGCTTTCCTCTCTTCCCGGCCTCCCCTTGAGCTTGGGGTCACTCTGGGGTCGCTATGGGAGAACATGGAACATGGAGTTGAGGCAGCTCTTCTGGAGCGGTAGAGGAGGTAGCTTCCTGGTTGGGGCAGCCCTGGAGATTCTGGCTGTTGCAATCCTGAGGTGGGGAGAAGATAGTTAGGGGGAGGATTTGGGTGCAGCTTTTGAGAACACTCTGTTTCTGTCTTGGACTAATTCCAGCTTCCTGGAGCTGCACAATCTCCCCTTTTTCAGAGGACTGCAGTTCCTCCAAGTGCAGTCTGACCTAAATCCCTCCTGCTGCAGGTGCAGGCTATACTTTTTTGGTCACCAGTTGGTGCTTCCCTTTTTGTCTACGGGGAGTTCATGCTGACTCCGATCCCTCCAGTGCAGTGCCCTTGGGGGCCCAACTATGCAGATGAGAGGGTGCATGAATTGCCCAGGCCAGTGCCTGCCTATGAGGTCTCCTAAGAAATTAGGTGCTAAGCAGCCAAAAGCAGCCAAGGGTTAATCTGAGGAGCTTGGGCAGGGGCTGTTTGCCAAGAGAAACCAGGAGGAACCGCTCCCTCCCTCGGCCAGATGGCTCCATCCTTCAAGAGCCGGGCCCTAATCTCTCCATTGTCTCCCAGCTCACTGCCCGGTGTGTCAGAACAGGAAGTGTTTGCAGCCCTTGCAGCCAGTCGGGCAGCTTTGACCGGGTCCCCACTGCTCCCCTTCCCTGGGAAAATGCCTCAGTGGCTCCTTTTTGAGTTTCTGGGGTGGGGAGGAGAGTTCAGGCCTGGAGGCAGGGTTGGGACTTCCCAAGGTCACCTGCTGGAGGCTGTGATGGGCCACAAGTCTTGTGCCTCCTGAGCAAGGGGAGTGTGGAAGTGGCCAGGCCTTGGGGCTCTGTGACAGGTGTCTTAGACCTCTGTTGGACATGAAAGAGGAAAAACAGTCACATCGGCCTCTATTTCCTGAGGGGTCCAGGGGAGTGGATCCTGGCTAGTACCCACGGGTTTGGAGCTGGTTGGTTAGTTGAAGGGGATCATTGGAGTTTTTTGGGGAAATGCATTGCTGAGATCATAGGGGTACCCCTTCTCTCAGATCCTTTGAACTGGATTCTGGCTAGTTCTTTGTGTTCTGGGGAGACATAGGGTGCACCACCTGCTTTTTGGAAGCCCCATGGCTCCCTTCCTTTGAAATCTTTCCCTCTGGCTATACTGAAATTATTTTTCCCAACTAAAGGGCCCAACTATGGGTTGGTGCATCCTTTATTCTGCCCAGACCTGCACTCCCCAGGGTCTTGGCTTTGGGACCTGGCTGTAGCCCCACCTTCTATGTGGCCTAGGTCCCTCTGGCTTCTAAGCAACTATTACACCTGCACAGGTCTCCCCATCACCAAGACCTGGGTGATAGGGACCCGCGTAGAATCAACAGCTATATCTGCTTTTGTCGGGCTTTCAATACGGATGGTCATGACTAGATGTGAATGATTGGAAGCAGACAGGCAGATGAAGGCCACTGGGAGTTATAAACAAAGGCCTTGGCTGTCCAGATGAGGGTGGAATTACTTTTGGTCTTGGGTGAGGGCAGCACAGAGAAGCTGCAGGTAGGAGGTGGCATTTAAGCAGAACAGGTAGGGCCTGGATGCTAGAGGTGGCAGCAAGTATTCTTCTGACAGACAGCAGGACTCTGATCTTCTCTAAGAGCAAGACCTTTCTCCCAGGAAGTCTTCCAGGACTTCCACCCGATGCCCTACTCCCTGACGCCTCCTTGGGTGGATTCTGATCTTGCTCCTTTCTCCCTGGCAGCATTTCCCCTCTGGTACTGGGCTGTCCACCTCCTGTGACTCTGCCTGTGAGCCTCATGGGGACAGCCTGACAAGGTTTGCAAGCACCTCTTTTGTGTCTGGCTCTGTGCAAACCTGAGTGGGATAGAAATCACACTGCGGCTGGGTCCTCCCTTGAGGAAAGCGTAGCATTACGTGAATATGGCACGTGAATATGAGTGTGGGAAGCGCTGGGAAGCAAACACATGAGATACGGATTTTCCGTGCTTTCAGGAGACTATTAAGAGCAATGGTAGATGTAAGCACAGGGGAGAAGCATTTACTTTGGCCAGGGATTCAAGGAAGGCTCCCTGGAGGAGGTGGCACCTGAGATGACTGTTGAAGTTCTAGTGGTTGCTGGGGTGAAAGGGGTGTAGACCTGGAGTTGGGAGGAAGGGCCCCGGGTCCAGGGTTCTCTAGGCAGCAAGAATGTCAGAGTAGAGGCTCTTGGAGTGTGGTTCAGGGAAGTACATATATAAACCAAAAGTAACTTGGCATCAGTCAAGGTTAAGGGCCGGGAGTGGTGGGAGAGGAGGCTGGAGAGGTAGGTCGAAGCTGGGCAGTGGAAGACCATGATTTGGCCCATTGTCTAATCTGTGTGGGGCTTGGTCCTCGTGTTCTAAGACCAGACAAGTGCAAGAGAAGGCATGTCTGAGAGATAAAGCTCAGCAGGAGAGGAGAAGGGAACTCTGGGCTACCTGCTTTTGGGGTGGGGCCTCGCGGCCCATGTTATGTTTTGGACTCATGTCTGGGGCCTGCCACAGGGCACCTCACTCCCCTTCCATGCAGTAGAAATGCTGAGCCTTGCACCTGCTCCACCTCCTTCTTCATTCCTGTGTACTATGAAGATGTTTCTGGGACTAAGACATTTATTGTCATTCCTTTGTCTCTTAGCAGAATTGTCTCTTATCCTCCAAAAGAATATTCATCTCTTTGGTATTCACTTATTTTTAAATCTTTCTGGATGATGATGATGATGATTTTTTGGTTCTGGGGATTGAACTTTAGGGTGCTTAACAACTGAGCTACATCCCTAGCCCCTTTTTAATTTTTTAATTTTGAGACAGGGTCTCACTAAGTTGCTGAGGCTGGCCTCGAACTTGTGATCCTCCTGCCTCAGCCTCCCAAGCTGCTGGGATTACAGGTGTGTGCTACTCACTTGGCTCTCCTTAGATTATTTGCAGTGTCCATACTCACCCTATTTACTACCATGCTCACACACTCCACTTTACATTCAACTGGATTCCCTCAAATTCTTCAGTGGAAAGAGATCCATACTTTGCAAATAATTCCATGGAAAAATAAATTTAAATTTCCTCTTAACTCCCTCTTTCCCAGGTTAAATGATCACTTAATGATCTTTCTACCTCCCCTTTTATCTTTTGTGTCAAGTAACCTATTGAATAATTTCCCAAGGCCTTTCGGGGACTCCTAGCAAGGACAAGGCTGTGATTGCTGCTATTCAGTAGCCTCTGGTTTGAGGAGTCATGTAGGATAAACATGATTCAGCACAAATATAAGCAGATGGCTTTTGTCATGCAGAGGAATCTCACATAAATCCAGGCTTATTCAGGGCAAAGCCTTTTCTCAGTTCGATTGCCAGGCTAAGCTTCTCTTTAACGGCTTTGTGGTTGTTGCTCCTTCACTTATTTTTACAGCAGGAGGTGGAAGTGAGTTATTTAAAACCAGGAGGCAAGGAAGGAAGGCCGACAGGTCTCACTTGGTTCCCCCTTAGCCCCTGAAGTCTGCTTTCTACACAGCAGCCAGACGGATGCTTTATTTTATTTTATTGGTACCAGGGATTGAACTCAGGGCCACATCCCCAGCTCTTTTTTAATATTTTATTTAGAGACAGGGCTCACTGAGTTGCTGGGATTACAGGCATGTGCCACTGTGCCTGGCCAGATGGAGCCTTTAAAAGTAATCACAGTGGCTCCGGAGGCTGAGGCAGGAGGATCACGAGTTCAAAGCCAGTCAGCAACTTAGTGAGGCACTAAGCAACTCAGTGAGACCCTGTCTCTGAATAAAATACAAAAAAAGGGCTGGGAATGTGGCTCAGTAGTTAAGTGCTCCTGAGTTCAATCCCAGGTACAAAAAAAAAAAAAAAAAAAAAAAAAAAAAAACAACCACCAACAACAAAAAAAGTAAGCTCATGTTTCACCTTTGCTTAAACTCCCCTCTCAAAAAACGATGGGTCTAATGAGGCCCTGTGGGATCTGTTTTGCAGCCATAAGGAACTCATTTCATAAACTGCTTGTCCTCCGTCCTTGGCTTCAGCCACACCAGCCCCTGATGGTTCCTTGGTACGTCCCACGCTCCTGCCTCACAGCCTTTGCCCTTGGGCTACCTAGCCTGTTTCTTAATGTGTTCAGTATTTGCTTAGTCCCCCCAGAGCACTGTATGAAATGGCCCTGGTCAGGCTTCCCATCCCTTTCCTGCTGAATTTCTTTCATAGCATCTTCTGCCGCCTGCCTATCCTGTGTGTATTTCTCTATTGTCTGCCCCCTACTGGCATGTGAGCTTGACCTAGCAGGTTCTGTTCTGTCTGTCCACTGTTTTCTTGGTTCCTGTATCAGTGTTTGACAATCAGTCAGTGCTCAGT